TTTCCTCACGCTGTCAGATCGTGAGGAAAGTACTGCCGAGAACCGGCAGTTGTCAGAGCGGGGATCGGCACCGATCATCAGGGCACTGATGATCAGTGCCCTGATGATCGGTGCCCAGCAGTGACACCCGCAAGTTCCGCCCAGCAGTGCGCCCACTAGCCCCGCCCACACCGTTCCCAGCAGTGCCCCCACCTGTGCCCAGCAGTGCCCCCACCTGTGCCACTCTGCAGTGCCACCTACCTGTGCCCAGAAGTGCCACCTACATGTGCCCAGCAGTGCCACCCACCCTGTGCCCACCCACCTGTGCCCACCAGTGCCACCCACCTGTGCCCACCAGTGCCACCCACCTGTGCCCACCCACCAGTGCTGCCCACCAGTGCCACCCACCAGTGCAGCCCAGCAGTGCTGCCAGTCAGTGCCACCAGCCAGTGCCCAGGGGTTGTGCCAGTCAGTGCCGCCAGTCAGTGCCCAGAAGTGATGCCAGTCAGTGCCGTCTATCAGTACCCCATCATCAGTGTCACCTATCAGTGCCGCCTATCAGTGCTGCATATCAGTGCCGCCTATCCGTGCCACCTCATTAGTACTGCCTATCAGTGCCCTTTAGTGCTGCCTATCAGTGCCCATCAGTGCCGCCTATCAGTGCCCATCAGTGCTGCCTCATCAACGCAAATCAGTGAAGGAGAAAAAATACCTGTTTGAAAAATTTTATAAAAGAAACAAATAAACTTTTTTTTTTTTTTTCAAATTTTTTGCACTTTTTTTAATTTATAGCGCAAAAAGTAAAGCGCCCAGTGGCGATTAAATACCACCAAAAGAGAGCTCTATTTGTGAGAAAAAATGATCAAAATTTCATATGGGTACAATGTTGCATGACCGCGCAATTGTCAATCAAAGTGCGGCAGCGCTGAAAGCTGAAAATTGGCCTGGTAAGGAAGGGGGTATAAGTGCCTGGTAGGCAAGTGGTTAAAATCAAATCAATATACAAAGTGCAAACATATATAAAAAATTATATTAATAGTGAAGTCCATCATGGTTAATAGACAACAAAAAGTTCAGAAATCTCAAAAAAATATTTTGTGCAAAAAAAATTTTTTTTTCCAAATTCTTCTTCTAATGTAAAGAAAAAAACTTCCACATTCCACCCGTGCAAACCAACATCAAATACACTCACCAGATTTAGGTGAATGAAACGCCTTTTAGGAATTTATATGGGATCCTAAACCCTCTTTCGTATCCACTCTATAGGAATCCTCACCTTCAGTGTAGGCTCCACCATACAACCGGGGAGAGAAAAATCTCAGATAGTGTAATATTGCAAAATACCATTTATGAATAAAAACAAGGATTAAGGCCACTCACATTTAAATCACTTTAAAAAGGCATATTTATTAGGACAAGCTTCTTCCAGATGAACAATGAATGTAAGACAACCTCCCATGGAATCTCACATCACAGCTCCAGGATACAGCAGAAGTTCCACAGAGACCAAACATACACAGATCCCAAAAGATGGCCGCTGGAACGCACCGCTCCACTCACCGGAAGTGACGTCAGACGTACGGGGTAACAACCGGAAATGCGTCAACGCATTTCGCCCCTCCCATCGGGCGTTCTCAAGACGTCCATTTCCTGTCTGAAGCTCCCTTACATACCCAACAGGGACCCACCCCTCCGTTACAATTGGTCAAAACACATCCCCAGGATTATCAAAAAACCACTCCTCCTGTTATGTGACGTGAGAGTCCTTTACAAATGAGGCATATACCTACACTACTTAAAAACCTTTTTAAATTATTCCCATCACCACTTAATTTTCTCCCAGCAACAACATGTATATTACCACATGTCCCTAGTGGGAAAAACATAAATATAATTTAAAAATTGCCTACATATTACAAAAAACATTTTTTATTAAATGAGTAATGAATGACATCACTACTGAATAGTGATAAAAATAAATATAAAAATAAAAATAATAATGGTTATAAAATAAAAATAAAGTTAGAATTAAAATTAAAATAAAATAAAAATAAAAAATAAATATAAATAATAATAAAAATAAAAAAATATATATTATAAAATAAAAATAAAATAAATAAAAAATAATATAATAAAATAAAATCAAATAAAAAAAAATAAAAAAAAAAAAAATATAATAAAAAATAATAATAAATAAAAATAAAAATAAAAATAAATACAAATAAAAATAAAAATAAAAATAGAAATAAAAATAAAAATAAAGATAAAATTAAAATAAAAATAAAATAAAAATTAAAAAAAAATATAAAAATAAAATAAAAATAAAAATAAAATAAAATAAATAAATAAAAAAAAAAAAAATAAAAATAAAAATAAAAAATAATAATGAAATATAAAAATAAAAATAAAAATGAAAAATATAAAACAATTTTTTATTTAATACAAATAATCAAAAAAAACTATATGAAAATACATATGAAATATATGAAAAATCTATTTAGTAGTGATAAGACACACATAAAGAATTTTTATTGGAAAATAACTATGCTATTACCAATTAGACAAAAAAACAATTAATGTCTATGTCCGAGTTCAACCCCTTAGGGTACAAAGATCCCAATTGAAAGATCCATTTTGTTTCATTCTGTGAGATACTCTTCACCATATCTCCTCCCCTCCAAGGGGAAAAAATCCGATCAATCCCGCAGAATTTCAAACACGATGGATCCCTATTATCATACATTCTAAAATGGTAGGAAAGACTGTGATATGTATATCCTTTTTTAATATTCCTAATATGTTCACCTAATCTCACTGACAATTTCCTGGATGTTCTACCTACGTATTGGAGGTGACATGAGCATTCCAAAAAATACGTAACAAAGGAACTGTCACAAGATATGAAATTATTTATTTTGTAAGAGGAACCAGTGGAGCAAGAATGAAACGAATCATATCTCCTCTTAGTATCTCCTTTCATATTTCTACATGCCATACACCTATTACATTTATAGAACCCCACAGTATCCAGAAAAGTTGCCTTTTTCTTGGGAATATCTGGAATATTTTTTGCTAACTTCATTCTCAATGTGGGCGGTTTTCTATAAATGAATAAAGGTTTCCTAGGTAGTAAATCATGGAGAACTTCATCCCTTTTAAGAATCGACCAATGTTTCCTTATGATGTTCTCAATAACCTTATGTTGATTTGAGTAACCCGTAATAAAAGCCAGTTCACCTATTTTCTTTTTTTTCCTATTATTTGTTAGTAATTCATCTCTGTTTATCTTCCTCACCTGATCCATTGCACCTGTTAAAATTTTTTCTTCATAGCCTTTTTCTCTAAACCTTTCTAACAGAATATTTGCTTGCTCTTGAAATGTCTTATTATCATCACAATTCCGTTTAAGTCTTATCAATTGACTTTTAGGAATGGACCTCAACCAGTTCCTATGATGACAGCTGTGGATTGGGATGTAAGCATTCCTGTCCACTTCTTTAAAATATGTTTTTTTTGTGTGAAGATAATCCCCCAGTCTATAGATGACTAAATCCAGAAAATCTATAGATTCCATACCGATATGGTTTGTGAAAGTGATATTATAAGGATTACACTCCATTTCACGGATGTATTCCTCTAGATCATTCCTAGTTCCCTTCCAGATTATCACGATGTCATCTATAAACCTTCTAAAGAGTAATAATTTCCCATTCATCTTTTCAAATATAGCCTTATCTTCCCACATGCTCATAAAAAGGCTGGCTACTGATGGAGCATACTTCGCTCCCATCGCAACTCCAGTACACTGCCTATAATAATTGTTAGAATGCCAAAAATAATTATTTGACATTGCTAGGTCATGACAATCTAGCAAAAAATCAATTTGATCACCTTTTAAACCCGATTTTTTCTCCAATGCCCACCTCACTGCTCTTAAAGCATCCTCATGTCTAATGTTAGTATATAATGCATTAACATCAACACTGGCCAAAACACAGTTCTCTTTAATCCTTATTTTTTTCAAAACTGAAATCAAATCACCACTATCCTTCAAATAAGATGGAAAACCTGATACCAGGGGTTGTAGGAATTCGTCCACATATTCCCCTAGTCTCGAAAAGAGTGAGTCAATCCCATTGACAATGGGTCTTCCAGGTGGTTTTAATAAACTTTTATGAATCTTGGGTTTTTTTCTTTACATTAGAAGAAGAATTTGGAAAAAAAAATTTTTTTTTTGCACAAAATATTTTTTTGAGATTTCTGAACTTTTGTTGTCTATTAACCATGATGGACTTCACTATTAATATAATTTTTTATATATGTTTGCACTTTGTATATTGATTTGATTTTAAGGTCTATGTTTGCGCTGTTTTTATTTATATTTATCACAAGAAGGAGAAGCTGCCTTCTTTCCTGGGGTTGGAGGGGGGGAGGCAGTATGCTGAGAAGGAGGTCTGAACATTCCCTCTCCTCCTCAGAACCCCCTACGGGCCCCTTAGCTTGCTCTTTCTCTTGGAGCCTTTACCCCCCCCCCTTCCTCCCTTAGAGCCTCCCATATCCCTTTAGTTCCATACACCCCATAGAGCTCATCGTCCAACTCACCTTCCTCCATCATTACACTGACAGATGTGAAATCAGATCTACTCAGACTGAAACCACCAACACAGTGGCATTTTTTCCCCACTGACACTAATGAAGCACCATTTTTTTTCTCTTAATAACACCATGGACGCAGGGGCATTTTTTCCCTTCCAGTTACACCACATTTTCTCTCCTATTCATGCACCAATATTAAACTCTTCTAATAACCCCACTCCCTCCTCAACATTGGGGGTAAGACTGTGGGGGTGGCACAGTTTGTCATCTACACCCTGAGCACCAAATGACCTGATCTTGGTGCTGGTCATGTTTGTGTTAGGTTTTTAATTTTTTATCAATAAGCAACATACCTGAACATCAAAACAGATAAGTTTTTTTATATTTATATTCTAATTGCCTATATGTTTTTGTAATTATTTTAGATATTGATGAGTGCAAGGAGTCTTCACATCGTTGTAAAAAATCAAATATGCGAAAACACACATGGAAGTTATCTGTGTGTTTGTCCTCGTGGATTCAAGTCTGAAGGCCCTGGAAAGCCATGCAAAGGTATGTGAACTTGTCTATTTTATTGAATTCTGTCCTTTATTATTTTAGAAGTTTAACTTTATTAATCTATATTATTATACAGATGTAGATGAATGTGAAAAGCAAGATGTGTGTCAACATGAATGCAGAAATGTTCTTGGAAGTTATCAGTGCTTGTGTCCTACTGGTTACCAGCTCATGGTCAATGAAAAAACATGTCAAGGTACTGTTGTTTTAGGTTTTTCTGAAATGACTTGTTTTGGTCTCCATTAAAGTTGTTTATCCAAACATCAGTATCAATAATCATTTTGCCTAAAAAAAAAAAAAATATACCAAGTACTTGTCTAGGTAACTTGATGAAAGTTGCTGCTTTTCTAGAAAACTTGCTGCTTCTTTCACTAGGGGAGTTGATGATTCAAGCATTAATTGCGTTGTAGTATACCAAATAAGTGATAATGAGCACTTGTTTGCAACAACAGTGCTCAGTGAAGGTTTTAGAGATTTTCAAGTTTTTGTTAGAAAAATCACTAAGCAACATAATGTTTAAAGATTTATTATTGGTAACAAAAGTGCACATCCTACAGCTAATAAAATAAATAATATTTTTTGGGCAGTTTGTGGGGGAAAGCAACAGAGGTGAGTATAACAGATGGAACTGATTTTTATTCTCTATTGCTGACTTCATTTGTGTTCTTTAACAAAGCTATAGCGGGCTTTAAAGGATAAGTTCACATGTCCCATAGCTGTAGCTGCACCCGCTGCCCCCCTCTCTCTGACAGAGAGTACTAGGAAACTTCTTCCCGTACTATCTGTCAGATTTGAGAACAGTGCGGCCATGTGGGGCGTCACCCACATGGCCTTGTCACTCATTTACAGAGTTCTGTGAATGAGTGCCTACAAGTCCCGATATCCTTAGTGGCTGTTGGCTTGCAGCTTTCAATGAACTGCCGCGGTGCTCCACATTGAAGCTTCCTGTCAGAATATCAGTGTACTTGTACATCCCGTACGGCAAGTAGATATTCTGAAAGGCCTGCAGGAGACCTGCATGATATCAGTGTTCTACTGATCACTGGTGCAATGTTTTACAGGCTCCTTTGGACAAAAATAATATATGCACATTTTTTTACCTGCAATAAAATGGGCATTTATTATTTTTGTCCAAAAGGTGAACTTATCCTTTAACCTCCTTGGCGGTATTCCCGAGTGTAGCTCGGGGTAGAATTTCTATACCAAGAACGGTAACCCCGAGCTACACTCGGGCTTACCATGCAGCGTTCTCTGGGGGGTCCCTGCAGCACTTACCTTGTCCTTCGCTCCCACGATGGGTCCCCTGCAGCGTCCCCGTCCATCTCCTCCGGCGGATGCCAGCATCTGGCTTCCGTGTTCCGGTCCCTGTGACGTCGGAACGTTCGGGCGGCGGAACTGGCGGGAAATTTTAAATTTTTAAAAGATGACATTTTTGCTGTCATTGCTTTTTCACTGCATTTCACATACATTTTGTCCCCACTGCTTTGTACTGTGCCCTGCCTGCATTTGACTGTTCTTTCTGCCTGGAAACTTAGAAAAGTCCATGGCGGCCCAAAAAGCGTCCCTTTACATCAAAAGCAGTTTTAGAACAGCTAGAGAACAGCGATAGTAAATCAGAACCACTTGCAGAATTGAGTGATAATGATTTGTGGGGAAATTCGTCATCAGACACTGAAAACGATTTTGCGACTTTGCTCAGCGATGTGCGAATTTGCCTCTGTATTTCAAATTTCAGTGTTTTTGGTTTGATTATATTATTGAATTCAATTTATTATTATTATATTATTATTTTTTATGATTATTTATTAAATTATAATTTATGATTTCGTGTTTCAAGTTTTATCATATCCGGAATGTTTAATAGACTCTTTTTCGGATAGATTTCAGTGAGTTATTCCTAAAAATTACAGCCTACAATAAAAAACTACATATTTCCATGCAAAAAAAATGGTACCCGCTTTCAGCACAAAAAATCGGAAAGAATCATACCGCCAAGGAGGTTAAGGTGTATTTACTGAAAAGCTATGCTTTTTAGTTTTGGATAGAGTGGTGGTGGGAATGAACCTTTGTTGGGTTTTTATTGATTGTTTTTATTGTTTTCATTTATTTAGTCTTTCTTTTTTCCCCTGTAACCACTGTCATTGGGAGTGAAAGTAAAAACAAATTCAAAATTTTGAGCTGACAGTAGAACAGGAATAAAGTGGCAATCTTCCAATAGGAGCAAATGTTCCTGTGACTGCCTAAGAGGGCATTTTCCGACCTTTGGAAAAATGTCCGATAACTTCCAGTATATCTAAAGGACAAGACAGGAAAGGTAATATCTCCAATGGGACACAAATTCTTCTCTACTCTATCTAAAATTAAAAAAAAAAAGTGTATACTTTTATTAAAACAAAATCAGCTATATAACAATAATTAGATGAGGAACGTATACAAGGGAAGAGGTGTGCAAGGCATCATTTACAATAAAGGTTTGTTAGCCTTTCCAGTTGCAATAGTTAAGTTAAACATTTAAACTAGGACTCTGGTCAGTTTCTTTTAATTTTGCACAAAGTTGAGGAAAAGGTTTTGAATTTCTTTCGGGGTTTTTTTTCTTTCTTTGTCAGCCATAAATCACATAAAAGTCCTCTGAGGCAGCCTAATAAATCTGGAATGGGAATACAACTAGAAATGTGTCATAAGCACCCTTTATAATATCTCTATTTAATATAGGCAGTCTTAGAGATTGCAGGAGTTACATGGTTAGATACAGGGCTTTTTTTTCCTCAGAGAATAGATGCGGGAACTCAATCATGCCTCCCCCCACAACCCCCCTTCCCCCACATGCCAAATTGCATCAAATAGTAGGTGTGGCTAAAATTCACTAACTTTTTGAGGGTCTTAAAGGGGCATTAAATACCTGAGTGCACGGTGTTCAGAGTGCAGAGTTCAGGATTGTGTTACACACAGAGTGCACAGTACAGGAGTGTGCTACATACAGAGTGCAGTGTTAAGGAGTGCTCTACATACAGAGTGCAAAGTTCAGAGTTACACACACACACAGAGTGCAGAGTTCAGGGGTGCGCTACACATAGAGTGCACTTTCTCCCCTCTGCAGCTCTGACTTCTACACACAGCCCTCCCTCCACTGTCTTCATCTTCTCCCCCCCCTAAAAAAGGTCCACCATCTTCATCTTACTTTTGTTGTTATGTCAAGCTGAAACACCCAGACGGCTCTAGTACCTTCCAGCATTCTATAGGCGGCTCCACCTCTCTCACTTGCACTCTCATCCAGCATCAGCATCCAGGGACCATGAAAAAAATGGAGATCACAGAGGTTGAAGCTTACCATGTGCCCCCTTCCCCCCATGAATTCACTGCACCCTGGGCACCTGAATCTCCCTTGTTTCTGTCCTCTACTTTGTGGGTCTGCTCAGGAAATAATATCTGTGGGAGCCTCTGGGAGACAAGCTATCACTTGTAAACAAAGAAGCTGGACATTTGTGTTTACAAGTGATTGTGGTGAGCAGAGAGCAGAGGGCCTGAGCCAGTGGTTGTGGAACTCAGTTCCAAATAAAAAAAAGTCCTGGTTACATATAATGTTTAATATAACCACGTTTTATTTCCTTAACCGTTTCAATACCGTGCAATTTTACACCTTCCTGCCCAGGCCATTTTTCAGGTTTCAGCGCTCTCACACTTTGAATGACAATTGCGCGGTCATACAACATTGTACCCAAACTAAAATTTTATCATTTTCTCACACAACTAGAGCTTTCTTTTGGTGGTATTTAATCACCGCTGGGGTTTTTTATTTTTTGCTAAATTAACAAAAAAAGACCAAAAATTTTGAAAAAAAAACACATTTTTCTTTGTTTCTGTTTTAAAAGTTTACAAATAAATAATTGTTCTTCATAAATTTAGGCCGAGATGTATTCTGCTACATGTCTTTGGTGAAAATAACCCAAATTAGGATGTATTATTTAGTTTGTAGGAAAGTTATAGAGTTCACAAACTATGGTATAGATCTGATTATTGATCAATCCTGAAGTACTGACAGCCAATCTAATTTCTTGAGGTCCAAGAATGTCAGAATAGTACAGATATCCCCAAATGACCCCTTTTTGCTGAGTAGACAGTCGGACGTACTTCATAAGAGGCATGGCGAGTTTTTTGAAGTTGTATTTTTTTTGTCATAAATTTTTCCGAAAATGAAAAAATGAAAAATATTATTTTCACTATTTTTTTTTTTACATACTGTCACCAGTGCAGTACAGCGTCATCATATAACTGGCATGGCGGTGAACAGGGACACTGACTGGTGACAGTATGAAAAAAAAAAAAAAAATTATATTTTTTTTTAATTTTTTTTTATTTTTTTTTATTATATTTAATTTTTTATTACATTTTTTTTTTATTTTTTTTAAGATTTTTTTTCATATTTTACTATGACCAAAATAGTAACAATTACCATAGTAACATTGTACTACTTTGGGGAAGTGATCAGTATTTTTTTTTTTTTTTTTTTTTTACACAATTTGCTTATAGCAAAGAATTACTTTGCTATAAGCAAGCATTTAGCTGAATGAAATCGATTCATTCAGCTTTTTTTTTTTTTTTTTTTTTTTTTTTGTGCTTAGCTGTGATTTGGTCACAGCTAATCACATGACATGTGCATGTGATTAGCTGTGACCATTCACAGCTAGGCACTAGTATACAATGGATGGCATCATGAATGAAGCCATCCATTGTATACAACTGTCATGTGACCTGCTGTGATTGGTCGCGGCAGGTCACATGGTACCGGCAAATGGGGCAACGGGAGCCGGTACTCGGATCTGTCATCGGCCGTGTCCGAGGTGCACGGGCGGTGACAGATCCCGCTGCTGCGCCGCTCTGCAATAGCGCAAACGGCGCATGTGCGGGAGCACGCCAAATGGCGTGGACCCGGAAAGCTGCAGCGCTTTTCAAGCCGCCAAACGGCTATTGGCCGGGCGGCTAATGGTTAAAAATCATTAGTTATAGGTCAAAGCGAAAGTTAAACTTTTCATTTCTTTAATGTAATATCAATTATATGATATTATCAATTACAGTGTTTAACCAAAAAAAAAAAACCCCTGAATGAATCAATGTCATTCAGGTAAATGCTTGCTTATAGCAAAGTAATTCTTTGCTATAAGCAAATTGTGTAAAAAAAAAAAAAAAAAAAAAATTGATCACTTCCCCAAAGTAGTACAATGTTACTATGATAAAGTACTACTTTGGACATAGTGAAATATGAAAAAAAAATCTGAAAAAAAAGAAAAAAATGTAATAAAAAATTTAAAATAATAACAAAAAAAAATATATATATATTTTTTTTTTTTTTACACTGTCACCAGTCAGTGTCCCTGATCACCGCTATGCCAGTTATATGATGATGCTGTACTGCACTGGTGACAATATGTAAAAAAAAAATAGTGAAAAAATATTTTTTTTTATTTTTTAATTTTCCGAAAAATTATGACAAAAAAAATACAACTTCAAAAAACTCGCCATGCCTCTTATGAAGTACGTCGGACTGTCTACTTTGCAAAAAGGGGTCATTTGGGGGATATCTGTACTATTCTGACATTCTTGGACCTCAAGAAATTAGATTGGCTGTCAGTACTTCAGGATTGATCAATATTCAGATCTATACCATAGTTTGTGAACTCTATACCCTTCCTACAAACTAAAAAATACATCCTAATTTGGGTTATTTTCAACCAAAGACATGTAGTAGAATACATCTCGGCCTAAATTTATGAAGAACAATTATTTATTTGCAAACTTTTATAACAGAAACAAAGAAAAACGTGGGTTTTTTAAAAAAAAATTTGGTCTTTTTTTGTTAATTTAGCAAAAAATAAAAACCCCAGCGGTGATTAAATACCACCAAAAGCAAGCTCTAGTTGTGTGAAGAAAATGATAAAATTTTAGTTTGAGTACAATGTTGTATGACCGCGCAATTGTCATTCAAAGTGTGAGAGCGCTGAAACCTGAAAACTGGCCTGGGCAGGAAGGTGTAAATTGCCCGGTATTGAATTGGTTAACAATCTGGGCATCAGACTAATTAAGTTTTTCTGTCAATAGATATAGATGAGTGCCTGGTCCACAACATACAGTGTGGGGTAAATCAGATGTGCTTCAACATGAGAGGAAGCCACCAATGCATAGATACCCCTTGTCCTCCTAACTATGTGCGCGACTCTTCTGGGTAAGTTATCTTTTGAATGTATTATCATGATGACAGCAGTGCCATATTACATTTATTGCTCATGCTAGCGACTAGATTAGTGATTTATTAAGTTAATATTTATTTATTATTTACTGAGTGGGAAATATCATGTGTGCTATAAATATAAATAATTGCTAATAATAATTAATTCTTCTTCTTTATAATTAATTTGCCTGTGATTCTGTTATACGGGATAGACAGTAACTCTTTTAAATAAAATTAAACAAAAAATTTCAAATAGAAAAATAATATAATGTTAATCAGATGTGAGAGGGATCACACCCAAAATGACTTACAGGAAATCACCTGCTGTCCAGCAGAAGAGGTGGTTCAGTTTTTTGTCATCCGGTACTGTCCCAGATTTTATTATGCCAGTTACCAGTTTCCCTTCTTAAGTTAGATGTGATAGAGAGGTGATGTAGCCACGCATGTCTTGCCTTAAACTGTGTAATGTTTGGCTTTCCACTGTAATCTTCTACTACTATTGAAAACATTTTTTGAATTTAAAAGGTGAAAGCACTGTGAGTACCCACTAGAGGCCCAGGGTCAGGAGGTCCCATTGACAGGTCCTAGAAGTAGCTAAAAGCCCTCGGCTTGCTTTTGCTGTAATTGTGAATTCCTTTCTGCCTTTTAAAGGAGTCCCAATATCTGACACAGGAGAGAGAAGAGATATTCCACTGACTAAACATCCATATAAAAGGGAGCTTTATTAGTGGGTATTTCCATTGATGATCTATGTGAGAGGAGTAGAAATGTATTGACCATCATTACGTAAAGGCCCAACACAGGCTGCTAGCCAACAGTGATAAACTGTCCTATTATTAGAAATGCAGAACATTAAATATTGCAGAGAGGAAAGAGAGGGGGTGCCAAGAATGGGAAGCCCCACACCATGTTTACAGACAATCACTATGGGAACGAGTTGCATTACAAATTTCTAATGAATGGTCAAACTAAATGGGTATTCACCCTTGTTGTACCTCCGCCTGCAGTGGGAAGTGATACATCTAACCACAGCAGTATTCAGCTTGGGGGGGGGGGGGGGGGGGTCTCTGATTTTTTTCTTCTGTGGGTCTCCCTTGAAATCCATACCAGGCTCCTATCATGGATAGGGACCTGGCATGTATTTTAAGGGGGATCACCTACCTCCACAGTTTTTTTGTGGGTTACCCCATTAACATCCATACCAGACCATCATCTAGGATAAGGCTCTATTCACACTTTGCACTTCTGCCCATGATTCCAAATAGTGTGGCAGTTGCAGCACAATGTGTGGTGTGCATTTAGGTGCCATTATCCTGGAACCAGAAATGTGATGCAATTCCGCCGTGATTGTCGTGTGACAGGATTGTGCAGATCACTACAAATCGAGCCTTTAAAAATCAGGTGATGCTAGTAGGTTGTATGCATTGTACAGGTGTACCACTTCACAGGCAACTGAGCCCAGGTATCTTTTGCTCATCACTACGTCTGAGAAATTATACCATGTAAAGAAAACAGTGCCCGGCAAGATGTGTGCCAGTTTGTTTACCCACTTCATCACCTTCTCTTGGATTCTTTCTCTGTACAGTGGTTGAAATAAATAGGAGCCATACTGGGGGCAAGCTTGACTGTGGGCAAACATCATGAAGCTCTGCTCCTGCTCTGGCATTTTTAACACACCTTCCAGGGAACTTTCAATACACAGATCTTCCTGCTATACTGTTCACTCAGCTGATTGTAATTACACAGCTGTTTCAAATCTTTCAACAATAATTTTCAGGGGGGTTGTGTATGACAGATGTAGATGTGACAGATGTAAAAGATCAACATAGGTTAGGTTAAGCTAGGCTAGGTTAGGATAGATCTTTTTGTCAGCTGATCTATTGTGCTTATTTTTAAATGCATTTTTTACTCTTAAACACAATTAATAAATACATTAAATACTGCATATGCAAAAAGGTTATTTTTTCCTTTTCAATAAATTCCTATTAAAATTTGAATTGCTCATCAAACAAGATTGCCCTAATGATCAGATTCCAAATTTGATTCTCCCACCGTCCCACTCCCCACTGGTTTACTCACACACTGGACTATAAGAACGTTTTCCTGGGAACATTCCTCTGCTAACCAGATCAGTGATGAGTGCTTCAGTTCATTGCCATCTACGGAGGGCTCTGCGCTCTGGCACGGTGTGCACTCACACTGACGCAAACTGCACCAAACCACAAGTGAACTGTGCATGGAAGCATTCCAAGTGGTCCCAGGCGCAGTACGTTTAACATTCTTAGGCATGGTTCAGATTACTCACATTGCACAAATGAAATGGCCCAAGGGACTCAACTGTGCCCAGGACAGGTTAAAAGTGTTAGTGTGAGTGTACCCTAATTTTATTTGTTATCTGAAAACTGATTTAACAGTGATTTCATACTACCTTTATCTAGTCTGATGGTAACTGCTCTTATTTACCTGCAAGGTGATATAAATTCTAAATGTTTGGGGCCACGTTCAAATACTCCAGGACATGGAGGGATGTAATAGCTTTACTGCCCTGAAAGTGATCTCAGTAGCTACAAAGGTTTACAGTGTTTACTTTTGCAAGACTTCATTCCCTAGTCAATATCTCTCTAGCCAGACTGACATTTCCTGCTAAAATAGTTTGTGTTTGAGGTCCAGTCATTGTCTTAAATCCATAAATGAAACTGTTAGTATTGTTCTTTATGATATGTTTAATTTCATTTAGTACTGTCCATATCATTTGTACTGCTGTATTATATGCATATACATTATGTATGCATATATATATATATATTTATATATAGTTTCTTGATATTCAAATACATGTAAGATTGTAGTTTTAGCTTCAGTTACAGCCATTATCCTAAATACAGGTCACTTATTCTTCAATAATGGAACATATAGTATATGGCCTAAAAATGTGCCACATCCCTAACATAGTATTCTCTTTAGACACAAACATATTTTTGAAGCACAACTCAATTTAAACTAAAATAGAGCAATCTTTATTACCAAATTGTGACATTAAAATTCAATAAAAGTATACATTGAAGCTATTTTGTTTGTGGCAAGTCTATGAGAGATTGAGTTTATCACCTGTTAAAAGATTTGAATTGTGGTTAATACATAATGAAATATGGTAAGTGGAGGTAACCAATGCACTTTACTTTACATACTTTTATTGAACTTTAATGTCTAAATTTTGAAATAAAGATTGCTTTAGTTTAGTCTAAATTGTGTGGGTTGTTTCTCAAAAATCCCATCAAAATATTATTTTACATCTAAAGAGAATACTCATCAAAAGATTCTAAACAGCCAATGTGGATGCTCAACTGTTACAATATATAAAAAATTATATAAAAAAGCAGCTATCTGAATTAGCAGCCATTCATTTCAGGCAGCAGATATAAGACACAATTTTTATTAAATTGTACAGTATGTGTATGCATTACTCAAGAACAGTATATCCCAAAACCTCCTTTCCCCTCTAGAGCATGTCCTTTTACTTTGCGCATTTACCAAGGGGAGTTTCTACTGATTTAGGCACACCCTCATAACTGCATCTCCTGAGTGCTTTCCCTGCACAGTATATACAGACTCTTGGGAGTAAAGTCAACTGCATTGTTTTGCAGAGAAAGAAAATCAATGTATGCATCTGGAGAGGGAAACATGGGGTGGGGATAAATGAACTTCTGTAGTGCAGCAGGCAGGGCTGACAATGATGGCTGGGATTTCAGTGCAACAAATGAAATGTGTTGTCAGCTCAAACAGGGGCATGTAGTAATATACTAGATTTGTGGAAGATAAACAGCTATGTTTCTGTACTTACAGCATTTTAAATGGTATAAAACACAGGGAAATGTTTATTATTATTAATTTGCCTTGACACACACTTTACAGTGGTCCCCACATAAACAAGCAGGAAAAAAGTAACAAAAAATATGTGGCAAAAAAGTTAGTAAACATATTTACCTTATCCCTTGCTTTCATCTATGGCGCAAAGGCAAGGGTGATGTCATACTCCTTCTGACAAGAAATACAAATATTTTAGCAGGTAAAAAGCCCCCATATACTGTCTGTTCTTTATCTTTCCATGTAGCTGTTTGCTTAGAGCTCAGCTTTAAGCAACTTGTAATCTAGGTTATGCCACCTTCAAATATGGTCTTGGAGGTCAGAGAGCTATACAATAATGTTACTGTAAACCATCCTGCAAGCTGTAATGTTGGATATTTGTTAGTTTAGCATTTGAAAACTTTATAGGGCAAGTTAAACAAATCTTTTTTTATTTAATATTGTCAATATTGATATTTAATATTTTTAACACCACCAGGTATTGTTTGAAAAATTGCGCAGCAAATGATCTGGAGTGTGCTCTTAGCCCATATGCCTTGCAATACAAGTTGGTTTCACTTCCATTTGGCATCACTGCTAACCAGGACTTAATTCGTTTGGTTGCCTATACACAAGATGGCATATTACATCCAAGAACAACTTTTCTGATTACCGATGAAGATTCTACACTGCCATTTTCTATAAGAGAAGAAAACATGAAGGGTGTAGTATTTACCAACAGACCACTTAAAGAACCAGAAACCTATAGAATGAAAGTGAGAGCCTTATCATACAGCACAGATCGCACCATTGAATATCAGACTACTTTTATTGTTTATATTTCTGTGTCTCCCTATCCTTATTAAGGTATTTTACTGTTTTAATAGTCTATAATTTAATATTGGAAAACATTCTGATGTAGGAAACAATGCTGAGAAATAAAATGCAATAACTGTAAATTGTAAATGTTTGCACTTTAGCAATCAGTTGGAAATATTAATAATTAAAGGCATGGTGTTGTAGTCCATAACAGCTAAACAGAATTCAGCAGTCACTAGTCTGGCTACAATAAACTCTACTTTTTGGTCTTAATCCCAAAAAAAGAATTAAAATTATGAACAAAAGTTCTGCCTTCACCTTCTATTATAATGGAGAACTAACACAAAATGTATCAAGAGCTCTAACACTTTATCAGAGGCTGTATGTCTTCAGCAAATGGAATGGGATTTCCAAAGGCTCATAATCTAAGAAGTATTCAATGCAGTGCCAGGACAAGGCATCCAAGGTGTAAAGGCCAAAGTGTGTCCCTTCATCAGCTATGAACTACTACAGCAAAAGAGGCTGGAGATCCTGCCCTTATTTTAGAACCCGCCCCTCCTGTCAAAGCATTGATTCATTGTTACTGAACTGTATTGCACAGATGGAACAGGTACAGTATGCCAGTTCAGAACAAATATTTCAGCTAAATAAGTACACAAATAAAGCTTCTTAGCCTGGGTTCACCTTAGTGCAGCTATATCATAATGCAATTTTCAGTGCATTTTTGTAGTGTGGTTTTGACTTGTTTTTTTGGTGTGTTATGTATGCTACATGTTTTTTTGTAGAACAAAACTAGATTTTATACAAAAAGCTTTGCCAAAAATGCACTACAAATGCATATTAAATGTGTTACATACATTTGTGGTTCATTTCTATTGAAGTTTATGGGGTTAAAATTGCTTTGCAACTGCACTAAAAACGTGTTGCAGGGGCATCATAGAGAATAATGTGATTACCATTGTCTTGCAGTGCAGCATGACAGCAACTGCATCAGAAATCGCATGAGTGTGAAAAGGTCGTAAATTTAGCTGCCACAATGACAAATATAGAAAGAGTAACAAAAAAATTATCATGGATATTGGGGTTGAAGTATAGAAATATAGGCTGTTTCACTTAGCAAAAGAAATGAAAATGTGCCCACTACCAACCCACTACCTACAATCAATCTATATACTGTAAACTTAAAAGATACATTCCTACAATCACAGATATAAGGAATCAGCAGTTATCTCCTTCTAAATGTGTAAATATACAAAAAAAAGTATAAATACACAGCTTTGAGATCCTTTCTTTGAACCCACATAAAATTAAACTGCAGTAATTTACAATAATACTGACAAGCAATTGTGCTGATTTACAAAACAAGTTCAGACTCTTCGCTTGTGTAAAAATTCCTTAAATTATCTAATCTTATAAAAAGGAAATTCCTGTTTACATATTTTGTCTGCTCCTGATTGGATAACTGAAGGCAAGAATAACATCATTTCTTGTTTGAAGATTCTCAACTTCTTTAGTAAGTCAGACCAAATATATAGTCAGACCAGTATATACTCCCACCACCTGCTTCCATGAGCATAAAGTAACATGTCAAATTGTGTATAAACAGCCCAACCACTTTTTAAGTATTTTGAGATATGAGATTGTTATAAGGTGAAATGTCCATTTCCATGTAAACCTATTCTTTATTCACTGCTGTACAGAAATTAGACACACTCAACACATATGTTTAAAGTATACTTCATTATTATTATTATTATTACATTATTATTATTATTTTAACTCTAAACTGTTCACAACAGTGTATGGTGAAAATAGAGACCACACTATCTAAGACAGATGACATTTTTTATGGCTAAAGTAGCATGCAAGCACCATCAAATTCTGCTCCTGATGTCCTTTCATTTAACTTCAAAGCTAAATGTCAACAGAGCTTAAACATTACCTTAGATCAGTAGTTCTCGACCTTCCTAATGCCGTGACCCTTTAATACAGTTCCTCATGTTGTGGTGACCCCCAACCATAAAATTATTTACCCAGTAATTATAATTCATGAGTGTCGTTTTACCTCCAATACTGCTGCTTTCAACACAGTAGCTGCTTTTAACAGAGTAGCTGCTTTCAACACAGCAGCTGCTTTCTGCACAGTAGCTGCTCTTTACACATCGGAAATATGTGTTTTCTGATGGTCTTAGGGGACCCCTGTGAAAGGGTCGTTCGACCCCCAAAGGGGTCGCGACCCACAGGTTGAGACCCACTGCCTTAGATGCTTCATGCTCAGGGCAATTTTGTAATTTGTTTTGGTAGAAAATTTACCTAAAACCCCAAACAATTATATATTTCCTAATAGCATATTTCCTGTAGAATAAAACGGTGGTCATTTTCTTTGTTGCATGACGCTTGTGCAACTGCCTATTAAACACATTTTCAGTAAAAAATACACTAAAATGATTGTTTATGTATAAATGAATACACAGTTTTTGGGGTGAATATACAAAATGATATTGGATCAAGTAAATAGATACCAAACACATCAAGCCTTAAAACTGTGCATCTCTGTGAAATGGTAAAAATGTAATCTACCGAAAATTGTCCATACGCAATGCTTTTGAGGTCTTTAGAGCTTATCAATTTAGAGCCAACAGTGAATGATGGACCTAATGATTGTCTCACTCCGCAATTCATGATGATACCTCACATTCATGGCACAGTCATTGTTTACATACATGTGTTCACCTTACATGTGTATTTGCATTCTTGTGTTTGCAGGACAAATGGGCTGCTTTAAAAAAAAAATACATTCCTATTTACTTTATTTTAATTTACAATTTTTACACTTTTTTTACATTTAACTTTATTGCTATCACCTAACAAGCCCTTCAGGTGAAAACATTAGCAGATGCAGGCTCTCTTTATGCAGATTTTAGGGTTATATCACATCCCTAATTAAAAATACAAATTAATGAAATACTTGTGAGCCACTAGAAGTTTTTTCTTACTTATAAAGCAATTAATTTCGTGTATGAAAATGTTAATAATATTAAATTTATGAATAAAGTAAACGACTAATAAATCAATTGACGTGCTTAATTAAATAATTAAATATTTAGATCGCCAGTACTTTCCCACACCCTCTCCAGGTGTATGGATGTTAATTTCATATATCTATATTGTACCGCGCTCCAAACTTAACAACTCTAAGTGCTCTAAATAAATAAATAAATAAAATATTATATATAACCAAATATTCAATAATAATCTATATCCATAATGCTTAAATCCATAATTGCATAATACTTAAATCCATGATTGAAGTGAATCAAAAAAATTTCATTAATATTTATAAATCAGTGCAAAAAACTGCGTGCCTAAAAAGTGAAAAAATAAAATAGAAATATAAAAAATGAAAAATATAAAAAAAATAAATGAAGTAAAATAAACTGGAAGAAAATTTTATATAAGTTAATAATAGTTCAGTTCATACGAATTGAGATGGTAATATGGATCAATCTGATTTGCGTAGTAAGTCAATGTTCATGACATGAACCTCTCTCTCCTTCCTCCTCTCCTTTCTCCTCAATTCAACTTTTCTCAATCAAGACTTTCTCCTCTATCTGCTTAGGCTTATTCCTCCATAAACGATACATGCATAGAGAAGGGAAAAAGAAACATAGTGTCTTATCCTGAGTAAAAATGTTTAATGAGCTTCTGATCTCCCACTCACATGGTATCAGCAAAAGTAACGCTTAGCGTTACTTTTGCTGATACCATGTGAGTGGGAGATCAGAAGCTCATTAAACATTTTTACTCAGGATAAGACACTATGTTTCTTTTTCCCTTCTCTATGCATGTATCGTTTATGGAGGAATAAGCCTAAGCAGATAGAGGAGAAAGTCTTGATTGAGAAAAGTTGAATTGAGGAGAAAGAGAGGAGGAAGGAGAGAGAGGTTCATGTCATGAACATTGACTTACTACGCAAATCAGATTGATCCATATTACCATCTCAATTCGTATGAACTGAACTATTATTAACTTATATAAAATTTTCTTCCAGTTTATTTTACTTCATTTATTTTTTTTATATTTTTCATTTTTTATATTTTTATTTTATTTTATTTTTTCACTTTTTAGGCACGCAGTTTTTTATGCACTGATTTATAAGTATTAATGAAATTTTTTTGATTCACTTCAATCATGGATTTAAGTATTATGCAATTATGGATTTAAGCATTATGGATATAGATTATTATTGAATATTTGGTTATATATAATATTTATTTATTTATTTATTTAGAGCACTTAGAGTTGTTAAGTTTGGAGCGCGGTACAATATAGATATATGAAAATCACATCCCTAATGCTTCCCCTGCCGTCCACTGCAGTCAATTAAGCATAGAACTGCTTGATCAGTTGAGCACCCAGCTTCCCAGACAGGAATTTGACAGATCTGAACCCAGAAAAAGACTCAAAGCTGATCACTTTCAGGTACATCCACGTGGATCAGTAGAGCCTAGGAACCACAGTGGGCAGTATAGCATGGGGAAGGGATTTCACAGTAATGTAGAAGTGATCGGATGGCTTTACAGCCTTCTTGATCACTTTTACATGAGAGTTGAGGCCAGCTGAAATAATTACACTGAGAGTGTTTAGCCACTTGACGTTCAGGTGGTTAATAAATGGTCTGTGGATGGCAATGCCAAGTGGCTAAAGAGTAAGTGGCTACTTTCTCCAAAATTATACTTAAGCTATTTACAGAGTTTTCATTGTTAGTTTTGCAGTTATATTTAAAACATTTCAAATGTTTCTCCAGAATTCTCTCCTAACTGAATAGCAATACTTAATAACATTAGTCATCTGCAGCCTCTGTCTAGTGTCGTCTCCAACATCCTGCAGTGGGGAGATGGGGATTGATACCTGAGAAAACATGCCTCTTCACTCCTCTCCACACAGTACCACACCTCCATTCCTTCCCAGCCAATCAGTGCAAGGATATCTGTATATTAATTTA